TCCGATTCTGTGTCTCCCTCTCTCTCTGCCCCTCGCCTGTTCATGCTCTGTCTCTCTCTGTCCCAAAAATAGATAAACGTTGAAAAAAAAAAAAAGTGCGTTGTTTGAATTTTATGAAGACTTATCTCTGAGTTCTGTGATAATTTTGACATCAGAAAAATTTGAAATACTGCTTTCTGAACTCGATTTAAAAGAAACGGACTCCTGAGGATGTGAATGAAAAGCTTATTCTGTCATGGTTTTTGAGGTAGAAGGGCTTACAAAGGGAATGAGAACTTGTGTGTTGATGAACTGGAGGCAGCCTCACAACATTTCTGAAAATCAAGGACTCTGAAGAGCACAGATGGTGAGGTTTTATAGTTCTCATTTAAAAGATCAGAAAGGAAAGACTTAAAATTCTGTAGAGAACCCTCTTTTTAGGTTTAGGTTTAATCTCAGGGTTGTTAGGTTTTAAAAATTGCAATAGACAGTGCTTCTGGAAGGGCTGGAATTTGTCCTTTGTTTAAAAGTAGCTGGCCATGGGGCACCTGGGTGGCTCAGTCAGTTAAGCGCCTGACTCTTGATTTTGTCTCAGGCCATGATCCCAGGGTCTTGGGATTTAGGCCCAAGTGGAGCTTGTTTAAGATTCTCTCCCTCCCTGCCTCTCTCCCCGGCTTGCATGTGCACACTCCTACATGCTCTCTTTCTCTAATAATAATAATAATAATAATAATAATAATAATAATAAATAAAAGTAATTGGCCACTAAAACTTGTTATTCTGTTACAAAACTTTAGGAACTGTTTTGGTTCACTTGTTTTTAACTAAAAGCAGACCCTCTACTTTGGCTTAGTGATTGTTATCCATCTTAAATTAGCTTGAATAAAGCTTTTGGGGATTTTCAGGGAAAGGAATGTTGTATTAATGTAAATTTACTTAAGTTGGGCTGCTCTTGGGAAACCTAGAGAGAGCTGTTTGTATTCTGTTAATAAAATAGAAATTTGGAGTGGGTTGAATTTTCATTTGGGGAAAATACTAGAAATTGTTAAACCAAACCAATTTCCAGCAGAAATGATTTCCGTGGCGATTAACGAAATTGCAGGAGATCAGAAGGGCTGGTGTTGAGTCCTAATTCTGCAGTTTACTCCAAAGTGATCTTGGGCAATGCCCTTACTTAGATCAGTCTTTTTCTCTAGTGTGCATGCATGCATGCAATTGTATCCACTCCTGGAGCTTTAGTGTCCTTACCTGTAAGATGGAAAGCAATGATACCCTACCATAGCATATTGTTGTATAATAAGTGTCAATAATAGGAGCATGTCACGCATGCAGTCTGTGGAGGCAGAAGAAAGGTTGAAAGCCCTGCTGGTTGTCAACACTAAAATCTGTCACATGATGGTGATTTTTTTTTTTTTTTTTTAATGGATCTATTTTGAAGTTGGAGTTTGAATTGAGCCTATTTTTAAAGAAGGTGTCTGTAACTGTGTAATTAATATAACTGGTCTTTTCCAGTAGATTGCTTTATAGAAAAGATATGCTTTGCTAGAGAATTTCTATTTTGCCTAATAAATGATGGTCACTGTAAGGCATAAGGTTGTTCTTCTAGATCACTCCTTACTTTGTAGCATGTAGGTTGGATCACTTGTGGATATGAAAAGAATTAGAGATTTGTCTGAATCTCTTTTCCAGGTCATTCTAGGAGACCATTTCAGTCATGGCAATGGCAAAGGTAGGTAGAACTGGGAACTCAGAAAAGGCAGGAATTGCGGTGACTGGAATTAGTTGAAAATGTTTGTTTCTGAGTAGATTATTATTTTTGCCTATTGTTTACTGTTAGCTTTTAATTTTTTTTAACTTTATTTATTTTGAGAGAGGGTGCGAGGGGGGAGTGGGGTGGGGAGAGAATCCTAAGCAGGCTCTGTGCTGTCAGCACAGAGCCCAATGAGGGGCTCTATCTCACAAACCATGAGATTGTGACCTGAGCTGAAATCAAGAGTCAGACACTTAACCGACTGAGCTATCCAGGCACCCCTGCTAGCTTTTTAAAAGAATGTTTTGGGGGAACTGTCAGAGTGAACCCAGAAAATTCAAACAGAAGAAAATTTTTTCATTTCTGTAATCTTTATTTTAAATTTGCATTCCCCCTCCCAATTATAGGTAGATCGTGAGGATTTACTATTTTGATCAATTTTAAAAAATATTTTTGTTTTTTATATTCTAGAGAGAGCCAAGGTGGGGAGAGGGGCAGAGGAAGAGAGAGAGAATCTTGAGCAGGCTCCATGCTCAGCGCTCCATCCCACGGTCCTGGGATCATGACCCGAGCCGAGATCAAGAGTCAGACACTCAATCGACCGAGTCACCCAGCCTCCCCTATTTTAATCAGTTTTTAAAGCCCAGTATGTTAGATCCCTGGCAAAGAAAAACTAGACTTAGCTTTGAAACAGAAATGGTGTTTCCCTTGGAGAGCAGTCAACTTCTTGATTCTTGCAGTGAGTTCAGACACCATTCCCCATGGGAACCATCTAGCCAGAGTACTGTCCAGTTTTGTGATTGGAGCAAAAAGCTCTGTTGGGCATCCAACCCATAGTGGCATTACTGGAAGGGTTGGGATTTTGAAGACTTTCACAGTCATGTTTCTAATCAAATTCTAACCACCTCTAAAGATTTTTAGTTTCTTAGAACCTTTGAAATATTTGCTCTTTATTTTCATCACTGAGGAAGTATTTAAATGGTTTTGAGAACACTGAGAGAAGTGTTTAAGTCATATCCTTTATTCACAGGGAAATTGTGATCACCCTTGTAAAGAGTTCAGAACCAACCCTCCTCAGTGGATTGTCATGCTGGTTTGATCTTTTAAACTTGGCTTGGTACACATGGTCTCTCATCTGTGCTAGGGGCTGCTTGTGAGATTTCTTGGGTCATAATCTAATCACCTTGCTTTTCTGGAAGCGGTTCTTTCATGGATTAATTGGTGAAGTTGTACCTTTCTTGTCATCTGTAATTTGTACTCTCAGTGCTAATATTATTTTGACTTTGATTTTTGGGGGAGAAAGGGTCAAGAAGTGGGATTTCCTTGGGACCAACTTTTTGGGGGAGTTTTACTCTTGAGTTTTGGTTTTATCTTTGCCCCCTACTTTAATGTCTTAAAGTAAGACAATTCCCTGGTTTTAATCTCATTTGTAAAATGAGGATCACTTACAGACTATAATAATTGGGGGACAACTGTATAGTTTTTTGTGTGTGATCTGAGAAGTAGCTAAATTCTCACTTGGTGTTTATGCTCTGATCAGATTCCAAGGATGTGAGTATAGTAGGGGTCAGTAGACTGGCCAGTGAGTCAGATCTGGGCCGTGGTCTGTTTTTCTATGACCTGTGAATAAATGGTTTTTGTATTTTTAAAATGTAAAAATGTAGTTTTAAAATGTAAAAATCAAGAGTGAGAAGATATGCCACAGACTGGGAGAAAATATTTGCAAAAGACACATCTGGTAAAGGACTGTATCCAAAACAGACAAAGACTCTTAAAACTCAACAATAAGAAAACAACCTTATTAGAAACTGTGCAAAAGACCTAAACAGACACCTCACCAAAAAAGCTACACAGATGGGAAGTAAGCATATGAAAAGGGGTTTAACTTCATACGTTATCAGGGAATTGAAAATTAAAACAGTGAGATAGTGCTACTACACACCTATCTAAAACACTGACAGCACCAAATGCTGGCAGGGATGTGGAGCAGCAGGAACTCTCATCCATTGTTGGTGGGAATGCAAAATGGTGCAGTCACTTGGAAGACATTTGGGGAGTTTGTTATCCAATGTAGCTCTTACCATATGATCTGGCAGTCACACTCAGTGGTATTTACTCAAATGAGCAAAAAATTTATGTCTACATGAAAACTTGCACAAGAATATTTATAGCAGCTATATTCATAATTGTTAAAACTTGGAAGCAGCCAAGGTGTCTTTCAGTAGGTGAATGGATAAACAAGCTGTTGCACATGAAGACAGTGGAATATTATTGAGCACTAATAAAGCTATCAAGCTATGAAAAAGCATGGAAGAAACTTAAATGCATATTACTAATAGAAAGAAGCCAATCTGAAAAAGGCTACGTATTATATGATTCCAACTATTTGACATTCTAGAAAAGACAAAACTATGGAGACAGTAAAAAAGAGCAATGGTTAGGGGAAAGGAGGGATAAATAGGCAGAGCACAGATTTTTAGGACAGTGAAACTATTCTGTATGATGCTACAGTGGTACGTAGTTGTCATTACACATTTGTCCAAACAAAATACGTCACCAAGAGTAAGCCCTAATGTAAACTATGGACTTTGGTAATGAGGTGTCCGTTGTATCAAATGTTCCACTGCAGGATGTCGATAACGGAGGCTGTGTATGTGTGTGTGAGGGGAACAGGAATATATGGGTACTCTCTGTACTGTCTGCTCAATTTTGCTGTCAACCTAAAACTGCTCTTTTTTTTAATGTTTATTTTTGAGAGAGACAGTGCAGGTGGGGGAGGGGCAGAGAGAGGGCGACCCAGACACAGAATCCAGGCTCTGAGCTGTCAGCCACAGAGCCCGACGTGGGGCTCGAACTCATGAGCCATGAGACCATGACCTGAGCCGAAGTTGGACACTTAACTGATTGAGCCACCCAGGCGCCCCTAAAACTAGTTTGTTTAAAAATTTTTGCCAAAATAAAATCAAAGAATAAAATGTTACAGAGACCATATGTGGCCTATAAAGCCTAAAATATTAATATTTCTTACCTGACCTTCTACAGAAAATATTTACCGAACCCTAGACTATATCACAGAAGAACTAGGAGAAGAGTTGCTTGGTTTCTCTTTGGTATCCTGTCCTGCCTGGTACCCTAAGTCCCCCTGAGTACTCAGTGTCTCTGATGGCAGAGTTGTTCTTAAGAATTTCCATTTCATTTGCAGGTATATGAGTGACCTAAAGCTGCAAATTAAAACGGAGAGAAAGCAGTATCAACTGCGAGCAGGGCAAGGATGCCAATTCCTCCTCCCCCTCCACCGCCCCCTGGTCCTCCTCCACCTCCCACTTTTAATCAGGTATGTACTTCTTCCACCTGGCTATCTCAAAACCTTAATGGATACTTAGGGCTTCCTGGTGTAAGACATGGAGTACTCAAAGATACGTGGCATAGAAAGATGGAGAAAAAAATGCTTGAAGTCTCTCCTCATTAACTGTTTCTGATTCTTGAATGGTCCTCTTAGGACTATAATGGCTTATCTTGGGTTTTTTTTGGCCTGGTTCAGTATAAGTGGAGATTTGGACAAGTCACATCAGAACAGGAACTAGTCTTTTGCCCCAAAACTATTCTACAAAGGTGAGCACAGCATTTCTCTGGAGTTGTTGAGAAAAGGGACGGCAACTCCTGGTTGTTACTTGCTACTGTTTCATCTCCTTTTCTTCCACTCCAAACCAGTTCATCCTAAGGCCAAGTCCATTAAGTCTACTACACCATCAAAAAAGAAAGGAGTTTCCGGAAAATATTAGTACAAAGACTTAAAGGTTTGATAACAGAAGGAAAAAAAGCAATGTGGCTTCTGAACCGAAGAGGCAACCATGTTTACTATATGTGGATTGTGATATCTGGTGTTGCATGAGAAAGAAGCAACTTGGGTGCTTTCTCTCTCTCTCTCTCTCTTTTTTTTTTTTTTTTTTC